GCTCCTGCACACTGGACGCGGAAAAGCTTACCACGCGGCAAAATGCGACGCGGTAACCAATGAACATGTCAGGAGCTGTAAGCTCATTGGCTACCGTGTCACATTTTGCCTCGCGGCAAGCGTTTCCACGTCCAGTGTGCAGGAACCATAAGTTTATTAGTTACCGCGTCATATTTTGCCGGGCGGTAAGCTTTTCCGCGTCCAGTGTGTAGGAGCCATTACCCGGGATCTACAATAGGATTTTAAGCCTTAAGCCATAAGAAATGGGCGAATCACAGTCGATTATTCTTCTCGGATTTGACTATAATTGGTCAGTTTTTTAAGTCCATCACACGTACAAAAATTTTAGTCGTAATCGTAAGGCCGTAAGCAAATCGGCCAATCACAGTCGAGTGTTTTGAAACGCGAGATCGTAATTTTGATTGTGATTGGTCGATTTACTTGCGACCTTACGATTACGACTAAAATTTTTGTACGTGTGATGGCCTTAAGGGCCACTGTCACTTAACTGGGCCAATTAATCCATCAGAATTGACCAATCTGTCAATTCTTCAAACAAAATGACAAATGCGATTGGTCAATTCCGATAGACTAACTGGCCTAGTTAGATCAACTGAGCTTGGTGACAGTGGCCCTAAGAATGGCATTTATAGTTTGATTTTATATTTGAGATCATCTTTAGCTTGAATGATGATATACAACATTTCAAAATTGTAGAGATTGTCGGGATAATTTTAAATTAACAAAAATCTGCAATAAATACTATCAACAAAAGAGTCAAAGGGTTCATCAGTCGTCAATGGGCTCATTCAGCGGACTCAACAGTTGAGTGAGCGCTCGCTGTTATTGGTGTATTCTTTTAGATCATCCAATCATAATTTTAGATCTAGAAGAATACGTCAATAGCAGCGAACGCTCACTCAACAGTTTTGCAACCGTTTTATGATTGTCTGCTGAGATAGGACCATTCTTCTAGATCTAAAAGTATGATCCAATCAGCTCGAAAGAAACTTCCAACAGTTGCAAAACAAACGTTCTGCTGAACGCACCCATTCTTGTCATGTGATCCGTACTTAAGTTCGCTACTTCCGGAAAGTCCAGGCGGCGCTGAGAATCGCCCCCCCCTTTTTTTTCAGGAGGGGAGTTTGTACCCCCTGCTGCCAAAAAGGGGCAGCACGTAAAAGAGCAGTAAAAAAAGTGATGCGAAAATTGTCAAATATCGGGCGCATGACGGCGGTGTGGCGAACCCGGTGAGCCTGGCGTGTTGGTGGTGGAGTGCGGCGTACGTAAAAAAAAAAAATAAAAATAAAAAGGAAAAAAAACCAAAACAAACACGTAGCCGCGTTAGGCAGCGCCGAGGAATCACGGCGTGCGAGCGCGATGTCGAGCACCCTGGAGAAGAAGATTATGAATCTGGAGGAGCGATTGCGGGCAGAGAACGAGTCGCGGGAACGGGACAGACAAGTCGGCGGCGACGTTGGCGGCCCAACCATAGGCTTGCATTCTTCGTCGTCGTCGTCGTCGTCGTCGGCGACTGCAGCAGGATCCGTATCCAGCCCTGCGCCCCGCAGACCACGGCAACGTAAGCAGCTTGCTTTAAATGCGCGCAAACATCCCTACGAGTCCACTCTGGATCCTCCACTTTCTGGATGGATATGATCCATCTCCTTGACGATGCGTTTACCACGATTTTGCGTGTACAGGTTATGTTGACCGTCGGGCTGTTGATCGAACTTTGCTGTCGATTCCGCGAGTGTGGCTCGCTCGCTGTTTGATTTATGTCTATTTCTACCAATGTAGATTAACCGCAATCTCGATTTAATTTATTCTTTATCTTTTTCTAATTCTTAAATTAAAGATACAAAGTAATAACGCGAATTCGATCACTTGCATTAGATTAATGCATAATAAAAGTTAGCTATATACATGATAGTTTGCTATATACATGAGATTAGCAAGTTAAATGTAAAAGCATATAAATATTTTTATGATTACATAATCCAATGATGGTATTGTTGCGTTATTTAGTTAGCAGAATATAAATGTATTATTTCATTGTCAAATTTGATTATATTACCACTGCATTTAGATACTTGATACAAAGCAGTTTTTAATATGCACTGATCCAGTGTAGTATGAGTTATTGAATTTATCATAAGCTAAATTGAGATTAATGGAGCAAATTTGGTTGGATACTAGTTTACACTCAGTGCATATTAAAGCTGTTGTATATAAATTGACATAAAGATGTGTATTTAATATAAGTATAGAAACTAATTAAATCACAAAAACTTTAATATGCTTTTTATTGTATTATTTGATAAAATATATATTGGACATTTAAGATATTTCGTTTTTATATTCAAATTATATTGGTATATAATAGTTTTAATATACACTAATATGTCCAATTGAAATTTGCTTAATTTGTATTGGTAGAAACGGACTTTTTTGCTGAATCAAATTTAGGTCATAAGTTGTTTATTATTGTAATTAAATTCTCATACAGAATCAAAAAGTTCAGATATTGCTAATAAGTCGCACAGTACAATAAATGTCATAATAACTTTTAAGGGAAAAAGGATATAATGCTAATAGAGCTCAATGTTAAATATTAGGAGTGTGATTTAGTTTTGAGGGTTTTGCCATTTCAATCACAGCTATTATTTCTTAATGCTTTAATGTTACTCCATGATATTTAGTCGTTTACTAACAATAGATACAGTAAACATTATGTTTATATCATTTAAAAAAATGGAGCTTCCTAAAGAGTATTTTCGACATGTGTTGCTTTTGTTTTTTAATCAGAAGAAAACAGCAGCTGAAGGTCATAAAATTCTGATAGAAACTTATGGTGATGTTGCTTCATCAATTAAGACATGTGAATATTGGTTCTGTTGATTCAAAAGTAGTGATTTCAGTGTTAACGACAAAAGCTGTAAAATGCAGATTTACAAGCATTATTGAATGATAATCCAGCACAATTCTTTTCAGAATTTGTCAGAGAATTAAATGTTGATCGTACAGCAGTTATTAAATGTTTACATGATATGTTGTTTAAATAAATCAGTTTTTGAGAAAAAACCCTCAAAACTAAATCACATTCCTAATATATAATATATAGGAATATAGATCAGTGCTAATATGTATAATTAAATATAGAACATGTATTGTAAACATATAATTAAATATAGGATTAATAAGCTCAATATAAATAAAAATGTATCTTGATGTTATATAAATTTAAAAGTTTTCTATAAGTTTGATGTTAAACTTTTTGAAGAAATAACAGAAATATTTTTTCAATATTGATGTTAATATTATTTCTGGTTATTAAAGCAAATGTAGACTTATTTATGTATGCTGAATTATAAGGAAGTATATTTAATTATAAAAAAATAGCATAGAGAATGGGAAGAACTTAACATTATTAATTAATATTAAAATATTATGCATTTCTTAGTTGTTGGGGATATGGGTACCCCGACACGACTCAGAAGACAGCTAGATCTGCCAGTATCGCAGATAACACCGCCAAAGATGCATGATAGTGAAGTCGAGTTAAAGCTGCAAGAAATTATGAAGATGAACGGCATCCTGAATATCAACGGCCAAAGATATCAGACAGATATGAAAGATCTGGAGCATTTGGGTGAACTCGGCAATGGCACCTGTGGACATGTTGTCAAAATGAGGCATAAGCCGAGCGACGTGATAATCGCCGTGAAGCAGATGCGACGCTCCGGGAACGCGGAAGAGAACAAGAGGATAATCATGGATCTTGACGTCGTGCTCAAGTCACACGACTGTCCATACATTGTGCAGTGCCTGGGCTGTTTCATCACTGAATCTGATGTTTGGATTTGCATGGAACTGATGGCGACGTGCCTAGACAAATTGTTGAAGCGTAGCAGGCAAGCGATACCGGAAGATTTTTTAGGAAAAGTTACAGTAGCAGTAAGTTTCTTTATCCTTTTGTTTATAAGATATTTTATGTCCCGAGTTTTATAATTGCTATCTTTAAAAATCTTAGAAAAATTATAGGGAAGAAGAAGATACATATCTTGAAAGAAGATAATTTTATCATATCATTTTTTTAGTTAAAATACTTTGTTGTGTCAATTTTTTTTTTAAATTTGAAATATATTATCTTAGATTATATTTTTACAATTTCGAAATTGTTGGAAAGACGATTTTACATTGTGATATATATTTTTTTCTCTGTAGACAGTAAAAGCGTTGTCGTACCTGAAAGAGAAGCATGGTGTAATACATAGAGACGTGAAACCTAGTAATATATTACTTGATGAGACGGGAGGGGTGAAACTTTGCGATTTCGGGATTTCTGGCAGACTGGTCGATAGCAAAGCAAAAACGAGAAGTGCAGGATGTGCGGCATATATGGCTGTAAGTAATTGTATATACAATATGGGAGAATGTTTAACTTTTCTGAATAATAGAATAATTGTGTATTTTTATCGTTTTGTGTACAGCCTGAAAGGATAGATCCACCAGATCCTACTAAACCGGATTATGATATAAGGGCAGATGTATGGAGTTTGGGCATTACTCTAGTGGAACTAGCTACGGGAGTATTTCCTTATCGAGACTGCAAGACTGATTTTGAGGTAAAATTTCCGTTGGAAATTTGATTTTTAGATTTTTTTATCTCTGTTATGAACTGTACTAAATATGTGTAATGAATTATTGAAATGAACTATTGCATATTAGAAAACAACTCTTGCTTTCAGTATGGAACTTTATTTTTAATATAGTTCTCTCCTTCCCTCTCCCATATCTCTCTTTCTCTCTCTCTGTATCTTTTGAAAAAAACTTTTGTGATTGGATAATTTCTTCCAATATGACCATATCTA